TTGAAACATTCTGCTAATGTATAATTGCATTTACTTTTCTTGATATTATTATGTACATAAGATGTTCACCTTGTGGATGTAGGTGTAGTCAATATATTCCTTATCATTAGTGGCTTTTATGTCCTGTTTCAGATGTCACAATCTGCCATAAAGGTCAGATATGCATGTATGTCATTTTCTAGAAGCTTTGCCTTCTGGAATTATATTTTTGTATGATTTAAGTTAGAGGCCCAAGTTATTTTTTCCATATGGCTTGGTATCCAATTAGTCCAGCCCTATTGTTTAAATTATTGTCTCTCTCCTGAGCATTGCATTGGTAGATTCAATGTAAGTTAAGTGACCAACTGTGTGTGTCACTTTAACTCTGTTGTTTGTTTGGTCTATTTATTAATTAGTATTTATCCTTATCAATTCCTTCTTAACAAGCTACTCCTGTACACAGATCGCAATACCTTAATTATAATGGATTTACAGTTTACTTGCTGCCTGGCTTTTAAAAGGCTTCAAATATCTTCTTATGGATGACTTTGGCTGTTCTTGGATATCTTTGATATCCATCCATATTTTAGAATCAGCTTGCAAATTTCCATCTACAAGCAGTCTGCTGGAATTTTTATTGAGATTACATTGGATCCATAAATCATTTGGAAGAGAATTGTCTTCATTTTAATTTTTATAATATTGCCTGGTCCATAAACATGCCATATCTCCAATTAATGTGGGACTTTAATTCCTTTCAGAAATGTTATGGAGGTCTTGTGGATTTTAATTAGTTTTAATCCTTTGGTGTTTGATGCTTTCTTGTGCTGTAGAATTTTTTTTTTCCTCCTCTGGCTTCTTGGTATACCTGCTGACCATATCATCTTTGAAGGCTGAGCTGACTCTCCATCTTTTCTTCTCTTTGTGTGTCACATTAACTTTAGAGCCTCGAAGACTGGTCTGTTTTTAACTTGTACTTTCTTAGTATGTGTGCTAACCCCAGAAGTCTGAAGGCTGACTTAGCTATCTCCATACCAGATATATTATACCAGATATATTATATAAATATTTGAAATTAATGCTTTGATTAGAAACTTGAAAATCAGGAGTTATATGATGATGAATTGGTATTATAGGATATAACTCCTTGTGAATGAGCTAAAAATCACATTTCTTAAATTATTTAACTTCTTAAGCAATGAGTAGCATGCTTAATATGTGAAAATGTTTATAGCTGTTTGAGAAAGAATACAATTTTAAAATGATTAGTTGAGGGCCAGAGATTTAGCTCAGTGGCATCGCACCTGCCTCACAAGCACAAGGTCCTGAATTCAATACCCAGTACTAAAAATAAATAAATGAATATAAGAAAATAAATAAATGAATATAAATAATAAAAAATGATTCACTGGATTAGAAGATGTAGCTCAGTGGTAGAGTACGTGCTTAGTATGCATAAAGCCCTGGGATCAATCCATACCACTACAAAAATAAAATTAATTCATTTCAAAAATACCCCTTTTTCTGCTTATAAAGTACAAGTTTATCGTAGAAAAATTAATACATACTTATATTAAAGTCATGGGGCTTTTTAGTTTGGTATGGGATTTTTGAGACAAGAGTCTCACTATGTAGTTCAGGCTGACTTTGAACTCACTATATAGCTCAGGTTGGCCTCACACTCGCAGCAATCTTCCTGCCTCAGCCTTCCAAGTGCTGGGATTACAGGTGAGCACCATCACACCCGGCATATATTAAAGTTTTAGCAACTGGTTCCAATGATTGGTAGAGTTCCTTGTGATTTAAATTTTTGTAAACTTTTCTGAAATATCTAATGCTTTACATCAAGGTTTGTCAAACTTGATGCTATTGGTATTTGGGGCCACATAATTTTTTTTGTTTTTTTGTTTTGTTTTGTTTTTGTTTTTTGAGACAGGGTCTCACTATGTAGTTAAGACTGACCTGGAACTCACTATGTATCCCAGCCTAGTCTTGAAATCACAGAGATCCTCCTGCCTCAGCCTCCCTAGTGCTGGGATTATAGGCGTGCACCACTATGCCCGGCTGGGCCACATAATTTTGTATCATTGGAGGCTTTCCTGTGCCTTAAAGGGGTAGCACTAGATGCCAAAAGCAGACTGCAGGAATTCCTAAACTTCCCCTGTGGAGCAAAATGCCCCAGGGTGAAAACAACTGTACTATAATCGATAAAATTAAATACATGTAGAAAGTTAGGTAAATGTAAAAAAAAAGGATGTGAATATTGATTAGTAAAAACACTGTCATGTAGGGGGATTTTGTTTTTGGTATTCTAGCAATCATTTTCCCATTTTTTTCCAAAACATCCTGTAAAAAAGTGACATAAGTTTATTCTATAGGCCTCCAGAGTCCTATTGGAAATTGACATTGTTCCATATATTTTCAAATAAAAGATACTATTTAGACCTTTTGTCCTTTTTTTCTGTGTGATACTTGAGATTGAACCCAGGAACACTTTTCCATGGAGCTATATCCCAGGTGGGACTCAAACTTAAAATCTTGCTTTAGCATATTTAAGTGCTGAGATTTGCCCATTTTTAATCAGATGATTTGTGTGTGTGTGTGTGTGTGTGTGTGTGTGTACATGTGCTGTTGAATTCTATATATATCTTAGATGTTGATACCTTGTTGGATAGTTTGCAAGCATTTCCTCTCATTCTAGTCTTTTAAAGTCTGCTAATTGTTTCCTTTACTGTGTAGGAGCTTTTTGGATTATTAGAATCCCATTGGTCTATTTTTGCTTGTTACCTTGAGCTTTTGGGATCATATCCAAAAAAATATTTGCTTTGACTAATTTTCTAAAACAATTCCCTTATTTTCTTCTATCAGTTTCATATTTTCAGGTCTTATGTTTAAGTCTTTAATCCATTTTGAATTTATTTTATATGATGAGGGATAAGGGAACCATTTCATGCTTCTGCATGTGGATATCCATTTTTCCCAGCACCATTTGTTGGTGACTGCCCTTTTCTCAATGTATTTTCTTGGTACCTTTGTTGAAAATAAGTTGACTATAAATGACCTGGAATTATTTCTGGGCCCTTTACTATGTTCCATTGGTTTATATGTATTTTTTGTGCCACTGTTATGCTGCTTTGGTTACCATAGCTTTGCGGCATTATTTTGAAGTGTAATTCTGGCTTTGGATTTTCTGGTCAGGAGTTCTTTGGCTATTTGTGTTCATGGTCGTTGTCTTCTTCTCCTTCTTTTCTTCCTTGCTCATCTAGTCCCTTAAATATCCTGTTCTACTGTGGTGGGCTAGGGATTTAGTTCAGTGGTATCATGCCTGCCTCACAAGCACAAGAGACCGAGTTTGATCCCCAGTACTGAGAAAAAATATATATCCTGTTCTATTTTGCTAACATTGTTGTAAGAGCAACTTTCAAAAGAACGATTTGCCAATATTTTTACCTAATAATTTCAAATGTGCATAGATGTGTACCAAGAAATTCTTCTGGAAATTTAGTCACAAGAATACACAGGAGGATATGAACAGCTTTTAGTGAGGAATGGTGGTCATTATAGGAATGCTTGAAAATATAATCTTATTTATTGAAAAGAGTATTTTTATTTATAAAATAGCTTTGTGGAAATTTGCTTATTGACATATAAAGTGTATTTTCTAGACTCAAAAACCAAGGTAAGGGCCGGGATTTAGCTCACTGGTTCTGCCGCCTGCCTCGCAACCACAAGGTCCCAACCGAGTTCTATCCCAGAT